GCATAGTGACGCGTTTTTTGTGATCGCTAATGCGATCACATTGCGATGTTCTGAATAGGGTAAACATCGCATGGCGATGATCGGTAAGCGTCTCGCTTACAGATCTTCGCATTGCAATGTTTTGGAACAGCTGATCGGCGGTTTCAAAATGGCTGCTGGAAGAAGAAAATGGCCACCCGCAGCATTTTCACACCGATTCCTCGCTTACCGTGGCGGCGAAAATGGTGGCCGGATAGAGGATTCCCGCTTAGCGGTGAGTTTTGTCCCCATAGGAACGCATTAAATGTGGTTTAATGCATTCCTATGGGGTTCCCCCCCCCCCGCATAGTGACGTGTCCGGATAGCGACGTTTTTCCTGGAACAGATTAACGTTGCTATGCGGGGCACCACTGTACTTTATACCTAGGAAACCCTGGTGAGGGTCACTATAAATCTGAATGGTCTTGACGGTTAAAAAAGCAGCTATGATGGCTACTTTTTAAATAATGAGAAGAAAACCTTTATCTTGGGTATTGGAGACAATGTAATAAATCCCAGTCATACTAAGCTTTATTTCCACAATGAACATACATTTTTATGCCTCCAAAATAAATATCCTTCACTAACCTGAAATAAACGAAGGAGAGGACACAAGGCTGATTTTGGAATAAACAGCTCACTGGAATAAGGAGTGGTTTTGGAACCTCGCCCACATCAGCCAAGAGGTTTCCTTCTTTTTTAATTTTTTTAATAGCACTTATAATATAATATTTGTAATTTTGATAGTTCTTGGTAACGTCACTTCGAAGTAAAGCACATTGTCCTGACTTAACTGATGTTTCGCTGTGCCTTCTCCAGCCAAACAGAGCTGGAGACCAACCAGACTGGCTTAATAAATCAGAGGCACTGTGACAGCAATGAAATATCTGAATTGGCTTGCCTTTCTGTTCCCAAGATTGTTTTGCCGGGAATTCCTATGATGTACAGTAAATAGCAATGCAAAGGCAGTGAGTAGGAAGCTTTGCACTGGCTTGTGCCAAAAAGGTAATCAGGCTTTGAATGACAGATGCAAGAATTACAATACAATGGTGAGCTCTGGCTGCTCCCAAATTTGCCAATAAGAATAAGAATAGGGCCCCATCACCTCCTGGCAAATAGAAGGGGAAGATATGGAGGCAGTGACAGATTTTACTCTCCTGGGATCCATGATCTCTGCAGATGGTGACAGCAGCCACGAAATAAAATAAAAAAACCCTGCTTCTTAGAAGGAAAGCGATGAGAAACCTAGATAGCATCTTAAAAAGCAGAGATATCACCTTGCCAACAAAGGTCGGCATAGTCAAAACTATGGTTTTTCCAGTAGTGATGTATGGAAGTGAGAGCTGGACCATAAAGTAGGCTGACCGCCAAAGAATGGATGCTTTTGAATTGTGGTGCTGGAGGAGGCTCTTGAGAGTCCCCTGGACTGCCAGGAGAACAAACCTATCCATTCTGAAGGAAATCAACCCTGAGTGCTCACTGGAAGGACAGATCCTGAAGCTGAGGCTCCAATACTTTGGCCATCTCATGAGAAGAGAAGACTCTCTGGAAAAGACCCTGATGTTGGGAAAGGGTGAAGGCAAGAGGAGAAGGGGACGGCAGAGGATGAGATGGTTGGACAATGTCATTGAAGCAACCAACATGAATCTGACCCAACTCTGGGAGGCAGTGGAAGACAGGAGGGCCTGCCGTGCTCTGGTCCATGGGGTCACGAAGAGTCGGACATGACTTAACGACTAAGCAACAACACCATTAAGTCAATTTTGAGTTATAGTGAGGTAGAGAGTACTGGGAAGTGATTCCCCATTTTCTTCCTCTTGGGGCACCCTGGGACTGTGCAGCTTACCCAAGGCCACCCAGGCTAGCTTTTCTGAGATGCCCAACAGGGAACTGAACTCCCAACCTGTTTCTCTGCAGCCAAATACCTAAACAGAACCAGCTTATGTAGGCATGGGCAAGCCACACAATCCCAGGGTGCCCGCAGAAGGAGAGAAGGGTAAACCACTTCTGCGTATTCTGTACCAGAAAGTGTAAATCCCTAGCCTATATCTAGCAATTCCTCTGCAGAGCCTGAAGAAGTTACATTTTTGCACTTCCCATCTGACAATTAGCATACAAGTAGTGAAGCTGGCCAGAAATTCTGGGAGCAATTGTCAAGAAAGTAACTTTTCAAAGCTTTGCTTCACTGGGATTCTATTAACATTACCACTCAGTGTGCAGAGAGGTAGGGGACACTCCTATATACATCCCAAGGAAAACGATTTAACTTTATGTGGTTATATTTATCTAACATCCTTTATATTGTGTAAGGGGGTGGATGACATAAATGGAAAAGCACATAGCATTTGTATGATCTTTCTCTATACCCAAATCACTTCGCATCCAATTCTGGCTGTAATTCTCAGGACAATTCAGAATGTCCATCCCCCGTATTCAAGGTTCGCCCTGCCAGTAAGCAAACTGAAGCAGTTGCTGCAAATAGGAGCTATTCGAAGGCAGCAGTATGGTGTTGGAAGGGAGATCTGTGTGCTATCTGTTGTATACTTTGTGCCCAAGCTACTGTAATTTCCAGTATTTTCAAAATAATTCACTGCCAGTTCAGCTGGCTTTTGCACATGGAATGGCTAGGGTTGTGATCTCCTACACACACACTTTAGATAATGAAGGGTCTTGGGCTGCCTCTCCCTATGTTGTAGGTAGAAGTTTCAAATCTAAAAGTACTGTATAGGCCTTCGCTTAACCCAACGAGGGACTTCATAGCAGAGGTTCAAAGTGGGACTGATTTTGCCACCTATTCACATCCTACACCAGGGCTGGGCAAACAACTGCCCTCAAGGTCTTATTGGACTGCTGCATACTTGAGTGGTTTAGGTTTGAGAGTTCGATTCCCCTCTTGTGCTTCCTTGATAGGGGCTGGACTTGATGATTCATAGGGTCCCTTCCAGCTCTGCAGTTCAAAGGTTATTATTTTTCTCTTCCCATCAGTCTTAACCATCCTAGTCAACAGGATGATGGAAATTGCAGTTTAACATCTGGAAAGTCCAATGTCCCTTATTTCTGCCCTATACTAGTTAAAATGTTTGCTTGCTTTTTATTCAGTGCCTCCCATTGGACCTTTCCACCTCAGTGGCAGATGCTGTGCCAATAACATGAGATTCTTTTGTTCCTGCATGGGTAACCTTTGGATCATGTGCCACTTCAGAACTGCACCCACAAAACAAGGATGCCCAAACCAACTATGTCCAATAACATGAGATTCTTTTATTCCTGCATGGATCAAATGCCACTTCAGAACTGCATTACAAAACAAGGATGCCCAAACCAACTATGTGGGTGGCAGATTTCAGAGGTCAAGGCCGGTATTTATGCAATTAATTTGCAGCACTATTATAATGCATCTGTATGGGTTCCTTGCACATTTCTTGAATCCTAGATGCCATTAATGCAGGACTTGCAGTAGACTTTTGGAAACTAGTACTGTATTACACAATCGCCATTTGCAATGAAGTGAGTGGTTGATGCTAACTCAGACAATTCATTCATTGGCTTTTTCCAAACTTCTCTTCCAAAACATCAAACTGCTAATAAGATTTTGCCAGACATCATACACAGGCAGCCCCAAGGAATCCTTGAATCAGATCTATCCATTTTATGCCACATTATGTATTTGATTTCTAGATGAAGAGATGCATATTTCTTGAGATATGCATATTTCAAGGTAAATAAGCATCAGTAGGAAAGGGACCAGAGGAATCTGCTTGCCTCAACTTTATAGGACTAGTGCTATCCTATCTTATAGGGGTATTTAAGGGTCACTTAAAAAGATACAAAGAAAGTGTTTTAAGAACCTGTCAAAGGAAAACAGCCCCAATGATCCAGAAGCATCTGCAGTAGAGGAAGCTCTATACAATTGCAGAGGGACAACATTTTCTGGAAGATAACTGCTCTGTACGATACACATTTTATTCTTTAATATCTACTGAACCTTATCAGAAGGAGTGGGGGGGGCAATTTCACCTAAAGCTACTTAACAAGGCCTTTCTTGGTTTGGCAGTAAAATCTATAATGATATTTAATACTGCTCCTTCATTGGAAGGTTTTAAGTAGGGGTTGGAAAGCTATCTTTTAATACTTTAATAATACTTTTTGGGGTTTTTCCCCAGCTTTACAACTCTTATTTTAGACAAAAGATTGGAATGTTTTTCTGACTACAGTTCCTAGAACCCTCAGTCATTCTAGCAATTGACCATACCAGCTGACAGAATCTAGGAAGACCCAAAAATGTAACTTTCCCATCCTACAGAAAGACGCAATATTGTGAGTGGAATACACTATCAGCATGTCGGGGGCTACTTGATAACCACACTCTTGTACTATTCAACATTATATCCAGCAGTTTCGAGACGGACTACCAACCTCCAGCTTCCCTGAGCAATGGGGTCTTCTGCCATTGTGTCAGTTGTGACTGATACAGGAGAACCTACAATAGTGAGCAGCCTGGGCTTGAACATGAGAGAAGCTATCTTACTTGCAATAAACCTTACATTTTTAAACTTTAGGGTGTCACCATTTTATCTTTCACTGTTTCTATTCAGGATTATTGGGGTTTCTTTAAAAAAATGGGTGGGGTGCCCATTGAGAACATTTGGATATTCTGTGTGGTTGTTAATCCATCAGAAGAGCCTATGTTTAGATTCTGGGTAGGCTCATTATATCCTACCATTCTCAACAACAGCACAACCAACTCCATATTAAATCCTGCAGTTGTAGTTCAGAGGGGTGCCTGTGGCACCAGTGAAAACTCAATTGCTGTTTGTATTCAGTGTACACTTCCTGAACTCTCCAGGCAGAAAGAAATCCACTTGAACCCGGACTCATGTTGAACCTCATATCCTGATAAGACTGTATATGCGCAACAAACGTGCACATCTTTCAGAAATAACCAGGTGTGTATATAAAAACTAGTTTCCATGACAACAAAAGACAACATCTTAACATTTTATTATGTAAGAAACTTTTATAAAAAGTTTTACAAAGCAACTAGGACTCGGAATGCAGAAATTCCTCTTCCTGCAAAATAAAAAGGTATGCAACTTGTTCTCTCTATTATAGAGTTCAACAATAAAAATAATGAGGCAGAACTGCCCCAGGACAATTCAGTTTTCATATTCTTAGAAAGTCCCTTCCCATTTTTTTCTCATTAACAGAAACAATGTTAAAAAAAGATAATCCAAAATATACACAAGTAGAACATCTGTAAAGAGTTGTTTGCCATGTCTCCCCCCCTACACTCCCCCCTGGGAAAAATGGCAAAATATAAATCTGTCCATATTTTTCATCAACTGATGAAACAGTGGAACAATCCAACTGTCAAGAGAGCTCCCTGGCACCAGTAGAGGTTTGATGGCTCACATTCCACCTGTGCTGAACTTTTTAAAACCTCCCTGCTTTTGGACATCAAGTTCTCTTCTTGTGAAATGCATTAATCTGACAATTAACGTGAGAGTGCCAGGGAAATAACGAGTCGTGTGCTTTTGTTTCCTTGCCAGCACAGAGCTTGTTTTTCAGCAGATGGAAGATATCAAAACACAGATGAACCTTGTTATTAGGAGTCCCAGGAAAGTCACTGGAAAGCGCCTTGGGCGATGGGATTCTATCGCCAACTTTATCTGGAAGATAAAGGCTGGGGTTCCTCCATTGCTAGATGCATGCAAGTTAAAACATTTGATATTTTCTCCAATCAAGGTCTCTTCTTGCTTTTTTCCCCTGCTCTTTTTTTCCTCTCTCTCTCTCTCTCTCTGGAAGGAACGAAGTGTCAGGATCCCACACCTGCAGCCTGAAAAGGAGGGGGAGGAGGGAGCAAAGAAAGGCATGTCACTTTCAACAACAGATCAGAGGCAGGTCTGCAGACATCCTGGCGCCAGAGAGGAAACTTCTATTTACCTCCAGCTGATAAGGAACCAGGAGCGCCAACACTCTCAAGCTGAGAGCTTGCTAATTGGCACACACAAAAAATGTCGGTGGGGGTGAGCTAAAAAAAAGGGGGAGAAAGGGACTTCTTTGGTATTTTGGCTCTTTACAGAGGATTTAAAATTACACATTGGGCAGTAGTAGGAAACTGTTCTGCGGTGTCTCCCCGACTAAAAGGGGGTGGGGGGGAGAGGAGAGATAAAGGCTGAGCAGGCAGAAAGAGTGCCTCTCCATTCAGGGATTTCAACAGGGCTGTTTTAGCAGCTGCAAAGACTTAAAAGCTATTGAAAGAATGACGTTGTAAACATAATGGCCCCTTTTACAGAAGGGGAAAAAAACAAGGTATCTCACAACAGCTCCCGGTCTTATAGGGTGCCAACCCACATTTGGTTATCCGGTGGACGCATTCGGACAGCCAAATTTTGTGGCAGTTTTTATCTCGGACAGCAGTTTTGCATCTCGGGATTAAAATTGGGGAGGGGAGGGGGGTCACACTAAATGATCTTCCTGATCATCTAGGAAGGGAAGTTGAACATTGAGTGGGCTGTATACCTGGGTAAATGTTAGTGGCAGTGAGTCCTCTCCTCCTTCGAACAGAGTTCCGATGCCAGCTCTGCTGCCTGTAGGGAGTGAAGGAGAGTAAGTTAAAAGTCTCATCCTATTCCCAACTGACCTAAAGTACAGTATGTGATTCTGAAAACATTCGAGTGCATTTTCGAGTCTGATTGTAACTGACAGAAACTGTGACCATCCTTCCCAACATAACATTTACTGGAATCAGTGGTTCCCACTTGGGAACTGCCCAGAATTGGGTCCCAACAATTGCACGACTCTCAGGCAAGAGGGGCAAGCGGTCTTCCTGCGCTTTTATCTACTCCTAAGTAAACCATCAAATCAGAGGCATCGGGGATATGGCAACTGAACCAGATTTGACTTGGAAATCCGCTGGAGCTTTTGCCAGGGCTTCCCCCCCCTCTAGAAATCTTTCCCTTCCACCCTCATCTACTCAAGGCAGCTGAAGGGAGTTGGGGAGGGCAAGCCTTAGGGGTCCACGTCCAAACTGCCAGGTCAACCCCTTCTTCTTTCCTCAAGAAGCTGAGGAAAGGGTGAGGGCCCTTTTCCTCATCATGGGCAGAAAATCGCAACCTCTTCGAGCACTTCACCGGAATCACCCGCCGTTCAACCCTTAACACCGCGATCCCCACCTTTTAGAAGCCAAATCGTACGAAACGGCTTGCCCAGCTCCTAAGTTCGGAACCAGTCGAGAGCCATTTCCCAACCGCCCCATAACCGGCGGAAGGCGAAGGCACCCAAGGGGGGGCCAAGGGCCATTCTCGGAGCCCGTACCGGCCTTATAATCAAACGTGTGAACCGCGCTCTGGGTCTAAACTTGCTCGCCATCTGGGTAGCAACACCAGAGGAGCCCAAGCCCTCCCTCCAGAACGCATCAATGAGGATCCAGGGCAAAAATTACGCTGCGCTTCTGATCCATTCATCGTTTCAGACTTAACACTGCAAGGGGATGAGAAGAACTCTCTCCCT